AATGGGCTTAAGTTGCACCAGGGGTGTTTTAGGTTGGATATTAGGAAGAACTTCTTGACTGAGAGGGTTGTGAGGCATTGGAATGGGCTGCCCAGGGAAGTGGTGGAGTCACCATCCCTGGAAGTCTTTAAAAGACATTTAGATGTTGAACTTAGTGATATGGTTTAGTGGAGGACTTGTTAGTGTTAGGTCAGAGGTTGGACTCGATGATCTTGAGGTCTCTTCCAACCCAGACAATTATGTGATTCTGTGATTCTCAGATGAGCATGAATCTGAGTCTGAGCCTTCTGAAGTACAAATGCTACCTTTAAATTGTAACACATCTCTCTGCATAGATTTCCCTTTCATAATGAAATGACAGGTACTGAATGATCTGGTTGCATCACATAGGCAGCTGAATTGGGTTAAAAATCACTAGTGAAGGGGAAACTGCTATAAAGAGGGAAGAAAGATGAGAATTAGCCTCTCAAATGGAAAAAAAATGCTTAGAAATTAGATGTATGATAGAGGATGTCAGAATAGTGATAAAAATTACAATCCTTGCTCACATTCCTATGGACTTCAAAGGGAGTTTTCCCCATGTGAGGACTGCAGGATCAGACATCCTATCTGTACTTGTTTCTTTCAGCATCTGTCTCTTACAAGTGTTGTCAGGAGAGCTTTTCTCACCATATGGGACTTGTGAAACATATTTAAAGCCCTTGGTAATGTTCAGTTCACTGCCTACTTGGTTGGACATTTCTTACACCTTTCTAAAGAGTGCCACTGCAGGGCAAAGTTTAATTTGCACTCTAATGTGGGAAAATAAGTCTTCCTTTATAGAACATTTTTAAAGGCATTTGTCTCTTACTGTAGCTTTTGAAAAAGTAAAATAAATAAATAAATAAACTAAATTGGTATGCCCTATGCTTCCTTAAGTGTGTAGTTTTCATTTACTACTGTCAGATTGTTGCTCCTTCTTTTCCAAACATAGCTCAACAGTTTGAAGCTAAACTGGTCTTCCTTTGAAAACCAGCAAAACTTTGTCCTTTTCAAGTCATGGGGTGCAGGATCACTTTTGTTCTGTCCTTTCCAACTGGGAACAAGAGAATATGAACCATTTTACCTTTAGGTCTAGATGTCTGGAGAAAGATGAATCTATTAAATATTTATATAGAAGAGAAATATGTCTTATAAAAGTGTATCTTATGTCACTGCGTAATGAGGACCTGGTTTCATGTACTCTAGTTATTCTAAATTCTTGTTTGGATGTAATACTGATGAACAGCCTGATTCCTCTTCAGTAGAGAGGAGGATTGGTGACTCTTGGAGAAGGTTAGTTCAAAGATGTCTGTAAGGCACTTTTATCATTAGTCCATCACTGATTTCTCTTTACAATGCTTAATTTCTCTGTGAAACCGACGATACTCAATGTCAAGTTGGTGCACAGTGTAAGACCAGCATTCACAAACTCATCTTTGTGCCCTATATTTAAGGTAGTGCACATTCTCACTACTGCTGACAAGATCCAGTGCATAATTGATATGTCTGAATTGGCCATCAGTCCAAAGAGGTTCAACAGCTTATTTTGGACTCAAGGTCTTGGCTAACATGCTTTTTCCATTGAAGGTTTTTTTCACAGCTTACAAATTCTGCACAAACTGTGCAGAATAACATTGCATATCACAAACTTCAGAGTAGGAAGATCTGTGACTCCACAAACCTGTTTGAAAATGACATATTCTAAGTACTGACATTATTTTTAGAGGCGTATAGTAATATATATGTATTGTGAGAAAGTGAATATACATTTTTCTTTGCTGATCAAAATACACAATCATTCATTAAGCCACCCTTCTCCCTTCTGTGTCTTGTAACTGTGGGAGGTGGATAGATGATGAAAATTCAGTTTGTTCTTCCACATGCCCTAAAGATTTTCTATGAAAGCTATCTTCTTTCACTGCTGGGGACGTGAATAATTCATGTCATCATCATGACAGAAAATTTCAGCCATCAACAACACAGTTCTCAAGTAAAATTTGTGCTTTAAATTCTGTCACAATATTTATTTTCACTTAGTGTCCACCTATACTGGACTCTCTAATCATGTGATAGGAAAGAGGCTGTGCTGCTGAGCAATTATAAACAGTGACATCCCTGACTTTGCAGTAGTCATCCTCACCTCACCCATGTCCCTCTGGTGTGCCACTGTAGCCCGTCTGCACTCCATGAAGATATGGACAAGGGGTCACATTGAACAAATGGCACTTGGCTGGCAAGAAGTTATGGAATCCATGTTTCATGCTGATATTGCTGGACTTTGTAAGAAACGGCCCAAGTGGCTGATAATGACATCATCTGTTTTGTGGCCTAGCTTTCTCTCTGTAGCTCTAATATCTGACCAGCTGAACTTTCCAAGATTTATTTATCCACAGAATATGTCTATGAGGTGCACAGGTGTTGTTATTCCCATGGTATCAATAAGGAGAACTAACACATGAAGCTGCCTAACTGCTGCTGGCTCCATCATGATTTTGATCGGCCTAAATACCTGGCAGAGCTGGAGTATGGTGGCTATGCTGATAACACAAAATAACTGCAGCAGAGCAGGATATTGAAAATGGTTGCTCTAGAGTCACTGGCTTTCCTTTACTTGAATATGTTCTTTCCTGGCTCATCTTGAAACAAGCTTGAATGGTCATTACCTGCCTGTAAATGGATTGTCTATGGGCCTTGAGTTACTAGCTCAGGTTTAGCTTAATGGAATATTTTTGAGGAAGGAGTCTTGAAAGCTATGAGGAATAGGTCTAAAAATGTTCTGATAGCTTTAGGCTACTCTAAATGAGCAGGAAGTACCATTATGCAGTAATAAATATTTTAATTCTGTTGCTGATGGAAGTTTGGGTTTGGGGTTAATTACAGCAGCTATAGCAAATATTTAAATGCTCTGTGGCTTTCTGTCCATACCACAAATAACAATGCATTGTTTTCTCTGAAAGATACCATCAGTCACTGTCAGATGCATAGATTTTGTGAATATCTATAGGTAGTTATGTTTATATGACTACATCATTTATTTATTTTTTTAATCAACAGACTTCTCTTGCAGACTAGAGCACCTAAGTTTCTCCAAGAACCTTTCTTTCCTTAAGGATGCTCTCCATTTATCCTCTGGCATTCTACTAATCTATTTTACATATTTCTTTTGCTCCTAGTAATGGAGATACTAAGGGTGAAAATCATGACAGAAGACTCAAAAGAAATCATTTAGTTAAACCTCCAGGTGGCCATCAAAAATCTTGTTACAAATGCCTTTCCACTGTGCAAAAAGGAACAGATCTTCATTGTGACAGTCAGCTTTGATCAAATGTCATATCTGGGATTCCTTGTGCACAGCAGTGTTTTTATAAGAGCTATCATAATACTGCAGCTAACACTTCAAACTAACATTAAATGAAAGTCTGTGAGCTGGATGCATTTCACAATGGATAGCATATCTTGTCATTCTCTGGAAGATGGAGATTTTAAGCTAAGAGTACATGCTTAAATAGTGTTTTGGCACCATCTAGATATTAGTTTCACTCTGACATTAATTTCTTCTGTGGCTTTGCATGAGTCACTTAAGCTCCCTTGATTTTTCTCTAGATCTGTTTATCTTTAAAACAGGGATAATGGTATTTTTTTCCCCTCAAAGAGAATAGATTTCAGATAAATCAGGATTATTTTTATAAAACTTCAGAATCCATGACATTGACAACACGATACAAACTTATCTGTGATTTTGGACTTTTGTTAACTGAAAGCATGACATATTTTACTTCTCCATTCTGAGACTCTTTTGTTAAGTTATATTGTCTTTTTCATATTAATCCTTCTTGCCCTGCTTCAAAGATAACAAAGGGGACTTTTATTTTTTTTAAGGAAACCTCAGTATCGATGTCATAAGCATCATTTACAGAAAATACTTGTATTCAACTCCCCACATGCTTTTGCTTACATTTCAGCAAATGTATATATGGTGAACGAAAAGTCATTTAGAGATTAAAGGGAGGGGAGGCGAGGCGAGGCGAGGCGAGGAGAGGAGAGGCGAGGGAAAGGAAGAAAGAGGGAGATGATTCTAGGTTTAGGACTTTGGTTAACAAAGATAAATAACAAACTCTGTACCGTTCAGTATCAGCTCTACTTATCTCGACATCTAGTCACTTTAATTTTTTTGCACATCAAATTCAGAATTCAGGTATGAGTATCTGTATTTCTCTCTGTTGTTAATCCTGAAAAAATAAATCCAAATAATTCATGGTCTGTTTATGTGCAATTCCATCTATCATGATGGTACAAATTATGGGCATAAAATCTGTTGCTTATATCAGAATTTACAGGATTAGAGATTCATTCTTTTTCCTTAAGGACCATAATAAGTTAGTGAAGTAACCTGAAAAGAGCTTTCTAAAGTGAGCTCATTAAAAAAAAAAAAAAAAAAAAAAAAAAAACAACACTCATGATATACATACTTAAAGTAATAAAATAGCATTTATTTTATTTATGGTAAGCAGAAACCCTTAAAACAGAAAGTATGTGACTTTGAAGGTCAGTATACTGATCATTTTTCTAGCTTATTATCAAAAGCACCGCAACTGGTATTCAGAGTTCAGGTATTTCCTTTTGAATAAAACAGTAATAGAAGTAGTTGAAGGGAACTACTCTGAATATACTTGCCTCTGCCAATGAATTTTGGGAATTAAACAAGTTAGGCTTATTGACAATCTGTGTTACTTTGGGGTGACAGGAAAAGCCACTTTCTGATATCAAATATGATAGGAAAATGCTGGTTTTAGTGTGAAGAAGATGTCAGGACCTAGAGGCCAACAGGACTCATGATGCTGTAGCAGTTATGGCAGAATCCGTAGAAGCATGGACTCCAGGGATACATTCCAGACCAAAACCTGGGTTTTATTTATTTTCTGTATATCACAATCAATTATGAATTAGTGCAACTAGTTAATCATCTTGCTTCATTTCAGATGAGGGAAAGAAGAGAAACCATCAAGGTAATTACATGAAGCATAACGTGCTTGTAGCTGAACATGGCTTATAAAGCAAGGAAAATAATATTAAATGAGCAAGCAACGAGCAATGAGCAATATGCCATTGGGAACAGTTCCTGAAGAGTATGACTGTGTACAAGTGAGTACAGTTTTAAGGCTTCTTGGAAGGAAGTTATACCTGCTGATTGATCTCTTGCATTCAATAAGCCTATGTGCCCCAGTCTTCTTTCCAAGGCTTCTTGAATTTCTTTCGTGTTACCATTTAGTCAGCTAAATACTTTATTTCCCTTCTTCTCTCTTATCTCTTTCCCCTTTCTCCACCTATTTCCCACTCACTCTGTTAAATCATCTGGTTAAAATGAATCTTTATAAAACCCATTGAGATGCTGTTATGTTCATATCAGATTTATTTTTCATGAAATAGGCTTTTCTGTTCCCTGGTGCTACTCAATCTATATAAACGGGCTATTTTAGTCAATGAAAATTTTTATGGCTCCAGCAAATCAGACTAAAGAAGAATGCAACATATTAGTGAGGAGAGCCATTCAACATTATGCGATGCTTCCCTTAGGCTCCCAAACATGAAGCAGTTCAGGAGAGCTATCATATTTGATTGATATAGTCATATTTGAAATGAAACCCAGAGATGAACAAAATGATTGGGCATCGGATTAAAGGCTTTTCTTATGTAGGCTGAACATGATTTCTGTCAAAAAACTGAATTTGCCTTTCACTAGAAGGCTTTTTTAAATCTTTGGCCAGCAGAGCTGACTTCACAATTGATAAATGTCATACCTGTGTGCATATGCAGCTTCCTACAATAGAGTCGATTTGAGAGAGATCTTTAGAAGTCTTGTTTTGTGTCTGTGAAGACAATGGAAAGTTCTACAGCACATCTTTGGATGGCAATAACAATGAAATACAGCTCCTTCACAGTGCAAATCTGGAATACTTGACATGAGATTTTAGCCAAAAGAAGTGCAATATGCAAACTGACTTGAGGAAACTGTATGATGTTTGTGAATGGTCCAGCATATCATAAAACCCAATAGCAGCTTAGTTTCAAGTGTTTGAAAATGAAAGAGCTGAATAAATGTATGGACATCATCTCCTAGGACTGTGTAACCAAGCATTTGCATTTATTTCATTTTATCAATATATATGTACATATATATATAATATGGCTATTTATTGACTAGTTTTGAATAAAAGTGTTCCTTTTTCTTTCTAAAGTTCTATTTTGATTTACTTTCCAATGTTTTGAGCATGCTTCCCCTTTTCAGCACAGCCTGCTTTCTCCCTTTGTCTTTGGGTTTCTGTGGATTCTTCAAGGATGCCAGGAGAAGCAGCCAGAAGCTAATCAGCCCTAATGCTCTGAATTCTGCTTTACTCCATAGCTCAGCTAGCCAAATCCTAAAATAGACTACCTGGCATTTCCCTTCTAAGGAATCAAGAGCCCTCATAAGGGTTGTGAAGATAGAGGGTTTGTGATCTTCAATTATATTGGTGTATCACACAGGGAAAAATAACATGGGTGTGTAATATATGTTGGAAGGAGAAAAATTCTACTTATTTTACCTACTAGTTTGGTAATGTCAGAGTATATTTTCTTCGTTGATTCCTGGGCCATCAAATTTCAACATTATTTTGAAATATTATTATTTTGATTTTGAGAAGTACGTGTTTAAAACTGCTTTGACGTTAAGATTGTATTACAGCTTTGTCTTCAGAGAAGATAAATTAAGCAGAATAGCTTCTCAAATTAAAGAATTGTGGCAGTTAGATAAGCACATGTAGTGGTATAAACGCATGCAGTAACCACATGAAGTTTCTCTGTGAGATTAAATTGTGAAGATGAGATGCACATTGTCAGATGATATCTGTTGGCAATTGAAGTGAAAGCTCTATGGAGTGTAGGAATGTGTTGTCAAAATTGGATGTACAAAATTGAAGACATACAATTTCTTCTTATTTTCTTCGGTTGTCGGTTTATAGTTTTTAGTTTTAATTTGTTTCTTCCTCCAGCTTCTGCTACATCTAAATTAGGTTACTGTTTGCTGATATATATTTACATATTTCACTGTAATTTTCACTGTTGTGACGTTAGAACTAATGCCATGTTCCTAGAAGTATTTCTGCACACAGCTATCTAATAAGATTGACAGGAGATCATTCAAGCCAAATAGTATTCTATATATATATATTTATGTTTTTAAAACATGAGTTTTGAAACTACCTCATGCAAGCAGAAATACAGAAGACCATTTATAGTGGTTCATCTGCTCTCCATGGTCCTTTTGTGCCATAGGAATGGAGATATTTACAGCCAAAATGTCCTCCTCAGGGACATCTGTGGCCCTTGAACCAAAATGCATCTTTTAACACTTATAAAAAGATGGAAATAATACAAAAAGCTGAAACTGCTACTGAAGCCCTAGAAGACGGAGAGATGAAGGATGGAGGCATGTTTCTTAGCACATGAGCAGATGCTGTGTTGCTGCTGCCACCTAGGAAGCTATTCATTAATAGCACCAAAGGTTTGGTTTGCAAACAGCACACCACCATGGGAACCTGTGACTTGGAAAGTACGTGTTTGTAAAACCAGAGTTTTAGTACTGTAATGATGCCCATGAGAGATAAAAATGTTTACTAACATGGGTGTTGATTAATTTTTCTATCAAAGATATTGCAGTAATAAGCTAGTTACTTGCAGTAAACTTGACAAATCTGAGTTGCTGCTAGCTTCTTGATCAAGCCCCTATACATAACAAATATGAAAGCCAGGGCTGGAGGCAGGCCAAAAGAATAGTTGCGTGTTTCAGACTTCCACAGCACATCAGGCAGTGCTACAACTCCTGCCTCTTCCCACTCTCTACTTGAATTCCTTTTTGCTTAAGAAGATCCTTAATTTTAAAGCAGTTTGTTAAATCAAGGCCCAGAATATTCAGATTGTCTAGACTTACAAATTACACTTTATAATACATTTTAAAAATAAATATTCATAGAGGGCTAAGTAGTACACAGTTATAAGGGATTACTTACTTTAGAAAATGTTTCGTTTCTCAGAATAAAACCTGTATATATACTCAGTTCTCTAGATAACAAATAAGTTATTAAACAAATGCATGATGCTTTTTGTTTTGTTTTGTTTTTGTTTTCCAGAGGTTTAATTGTGCATTTGGTATAGAAAAAAAATATATTTAACTGTTTTAATGCACCTTATTTGACCATTTTATATTGTTTCTGGAGAGAGTGGTTGCAACTTGTAGCATCAGAGGTTCTTCCAAACAGATGCTGATTTGGAAATAGCAAAGACTTTAACATATATTAAACCTACCTCTAGCATCCCTCCAAAGCAGTATTCAATGAATTAAGAGCAGCTTCTGATGATCTGAAAATTTAAAGGTAGTTTAAATGTTGTCTTCCAGCTATTGACAGTTTGTGTTCTCTTAGATTTCCTGGATTCATCCATTTACCTCTTGGCTCTTCACAACACAGTTTGGAGGGATGGGGGGGATGATTTTGTGTTTGAAAGATTATCATCTGAGAAGAAAAGATACTTAAAATTGCACTGTCCTGGGAAGAACAATGTCACTGCCTGGTGGTACCGAGGCTAATTGGGCTGCTGTAGAGTTTATGCTTTTATAAGCCCAAGGATCTTATTTCTGACATAAACACAATTCTTGATGGTTTGGCTGCTGCCCTATATGTGACTGGTCACTGTGAAAACAGGCTTTGCCTTTGCAGCTTTGAATCTAATAAAAATCATTTCAGGTTTAGTAAACCTTAATCTAGGAGCCTGTGGTGTATAATCTGGCTTCTGTGACACCACCTTAAAGTATTTTTCAAGTTATTTCAAAATATTATGAGACAGACATCTCATAGGAGTGTCTGTATAGGGTGGAAAGGAAAGGAAAGAAAATGGAGGAAAATGTTAGTGAAGACATCAGTTTGAAGTCCAAAGTATTAAAAATGGCCCACCAGAAAATATTCTAAATTTTCTCTGAGGACTGATTAATTGTTCAAATGATGGGGAAGAAGGATTTGAATTTTATGAAGAAGGATTTTAATTTTATTTATTATGTTTCCATTAGTATTTCCATTCAAATCATTAGATTTGTATACTTTGCATTGCTATTTCTTTATGTATCCATAGAATTAGGCATACATGGTACCGGGATCAGAACCACAGACTGATGACCTGTCAAACATGCAAATGCTTGTTTTAAAAACAGCTTAGATTATGCATGGCACAGTTATATTTAAAAGAACTCTTCAATTACTTTATTAAACCTGAAGTCTCTCATAAATCCAGCTGTCGTGTAGGAAGCAGGTGCTCTTAAAAATGCAGAAATTACATCCTTTTAAAAATACCTCCATAAAAAAAAAAAACAAAAACATCTGTGTTTTCTAGCTATAAAACACAATTATGCAAATATATCACAGAATCACAGAATTGTCTAAGTTGGAAGAGACCTCAAGATCATTGAGTCCAACCTCTGACCTAACACTAACAAGTCCTCCATTAAACCATATTGCTAAGTTCAACATATAAACATCTTTTAAAGAGTTCCAGGGATGGTGACTCCACCACTTCCCTGGGCAGCCCATTCCAATGCCTCACAACCCTCTCAGTAAAGAAGTTCTTTCTAATATCCAACCTAAAACACCCCTGGTGCAACTTAAGCCCATTTCCCCTTGTCCTGTCACCAGGCACATGGGAGAATAGACCAAACCCCACCTCTCTACAACCTTCTGCATTAATGTAGTTGTAAAAACATTTTTTGTTGTCTTTGATGGCAGTAGCCAGATTGAACTCCAGATGAGCTTTGGCCTTTCTAATTTTGTCCCTGCACTGCCTCGCAACATCCTTATAGTCCTCCTGAGTGGACCACCCTCTTTTCCAAAGATTGTAAACCCTCTTTTTCCTCCTAAGCTCAAGCCACAATTCTCTGTTCAGCCAGGCCAGTCTTCTTCCCCGCTGGCTCATCTTTGGGCAAATCAGTTGACATTCTCCAAAGCCTCTAGGATTAACCTCAAACTAAACTGCCATTTATTTTTTTCTGCTTAAAAACCTGCTGAAAAATTGCTGATTGTAGTAGCATGCACCAAAAGTCTGTAAATCAGTCTGCTGATCTCATCTGAATTTACAGTATTCAGATCCTTCCAGTTGGATCTTGATTTTGATTTTGTTCCACAGCAGCATTTTAAATCCCTACATCCACAAGAAGAGTTTGTTATGAACTAATGACGTGAATTAAAATTACAGCCTATAAATGGCTGAATTTTGAGATATATTTCTAATCTTGTGTTTTCAGCATTTAACAATGCTACTATGCACAAATAGCTCAATATCTAGTTAATGACCACAAAGTCTTTCATATCTCTTTTTACTGTAAATGCAATGGGTTTTATGTTACTACTTTAAATATTATCTTCCATTAATGACAATTTTTTTTACAAAAGATGCACCGTCCTAGTTAGCAATCCTAAGTGAAAAAAGTGCTCTACAACATCCATCACATACAATCAATCCAGATGGCTAGAGCATATGGCAACAGTGAAGTTGTCACTGCAGTGCCTTTGAGTACCCAAGTCACGTGCCTGATGGGAGATATTGCCATCTTTACTGAACTGACCTTTGTGGAAACAAGCAGAATTTCCCTCCAGGTATCATCTGCTAATTTGGCTCACTATATGCCACCAATAAACTGGCTTCAAAGCCAAATATACACCAAGAGAGGGTTTCCCCAAGAGACTTTATTATATAAATTATTCAAAATGCTTCTGGCCAGGAGAAGTCTGATGAAGACAGATGGCAAAATGAAGGACTCTCAAAAGGAAAGGAATTTTTTTCTTGCTTTGCTGGAATGCCACTCTGTGTTTAGGAAAGATTTAAGGACTCTGAACAAAAAAAAAAAAGTTTCCTAATTGTTGGTAAATAATCCCATCTTTACAACGGCAGATTTTTATTATTATTATTATTATTTTTGCATACACATTATATTTTAAAAATACTTACATTAGAGCATATTTCTAGCAGGAGATATTAACCATACTGGGCTATATTAATGTGGGAGTTGGGAATATTGGCTACCATTTAAAAAAGAAAGCACTGATTATGCTCTTTGCATAACACAGTATTTAAGCATATGAGTCACTTTAAATGTGTGAGATGCCTGAAGGAAAACTAATGAATGCCAAGTAATTTAATCCCAAAGTTACTGAAGATGGGTAGTCAAAAGAAGCACAAAATGTAAGACAAATTGTAAAGTCTCTCTGTAAAACCAGTTCAGTGGCAGAACTGCCACTAATTCAGTCACGTGCCGGAGGAGCACCATGATGTCTAGTCCCAGTAAGTACAAGTATTTTTATGTTACTGTGACTACACTGCTACTCTGTGATTCTCCTGTCTCTGAAATACTTTCATTATCAACGATAAAATGCAGAGACTTTTGCTGTAGGGTTGCTGACTCTCTGTCAAGCTTATGAGTCTGATTTGATATGGCATCCGTAAATGAAGAAATGATGAGCAATGACTGAAGCCATCCTAAGGTCTGCATAACAAACAAGCAGACAAACAAAAGGTGAGTTGTTACATGGCTTTAAGGATCAATCATGACTCACAGGACCAAACGAAAACAAGAGGGAGCTACTAGTAGTAGCTCTTTTTTAGCTCTCAGCACGTTTCTGAGAGTATGAAAGGCTTTAGACTAGATATAGAAGAACAGTCTTGCAGTCAATGTGAAAAAAGGTTTGAGCTTTGGTTGTTTCTTGAAAATAGGGGGAGAGGAAGGCAGTTTACTATGCAGTTCTGCTAACATCTTATCTTGTTCCTTTGGGCCTGCAGAGGAAAACCTGAAGTTTGGACTTATTCCATAAAATAAATGTTC